ATAGAAATTTTTCCAGAAGAGTGTCATCGCTCCTATTTAGCCCAGACATGGAAGCACTGTGACAACCAGTTTTCTCATTATTTTCCTACTGAGAGCCTTGCTCAGACCATCTTAGAGATATAACAGATTGCAAACAATGTCCCAGCATGAGGTTTGGCTTGTTCAAGATGCTTTTGTCTTCTAATTAAGCTTTACCTTCTTCCCCAGAAACAAACAAAAAAAAAAAGCAACCTTAAACATCCCAGGTGAAAACTACCAACAGCATGGGACATCTGACACATCAGGGACATCATCCAGAGCAGAATTTCAGCTGGCCAAAGCACAGTGGAGTCATGACCAAGGGAAGGTTGCTGGCTTGCAGTGAGAAAAGATGGGAAACATAACGTCAGTCACAGGAATGAGGGAATGTGTCTACTTTTCATTCTTATTTATTTAGCTGAAGTACAGCTTTTCCTTTGGGCTGTGCTCAGCCCTGCCTTTGCCACACCAAAATGAGATGATTAGAGAGCAAGGTGCTGTGAAGACTCTGCCTTCCAGCCATTCTGACTGAAACAACCTAACAAGAGAATGCAGACCCACCGCAAAATGGCAATATTTAAAGAGATTCCTACAGCAACATGGTTGGAGTCTTCTCTAAAGGAAAACACACGGCCCTGCTCCTCTCACAAATAATCTGAATCCACCCTGGGGTCTGAGCTCGCACACAATGCCTTGCTTCTGCTAATTTCTAAATTAGCCATCACATTAAAAAAAAACAAACTAAAAGCCTGCTGAAGAAGGAGAATGGTAAAGATTCAAGATCACATTCCTGGATTTCCAAAAGTAATACTATGCTCCTACCCTGGAGCACAGAAAGCATTCACATCACTCTGTGAAAGAAGGAACTAAACCTTACTAGCCCATGGGCAACTGTGTCAGGCATGAGATGCAGTGGGCAACACCCCTGGCTTGATCTCCTCTTGTCACTGACCCTTCCAGCAGCCTCAGAGAGCGTCAGGACTTGGAATAAGTTGGCACTATTACTTGGCACCAAGAAATAATGACAATTGGAAGACAAGAGAAGAGAAAATGTGCTTTGAGCAGCTTCATCACTTTGCAAAGTCTGCTGATGATTTTACAAATTGCCAGATGGGCATCGAGGCCACATCAAGCAGATTCAGCTTAGCAAAGTGACATTTGTGCTGCTAACACTGAAACAGAAAGCACACAGACATCAGTTTTGCCTGTCTTCAGATTCATCAGTTCAATGCCACTGCTTTCTCAATGAGATTAACTTGCAGGTGAAGCACCAATTTAATAAATCGAGTCTGGTTAATCTAAGTATTGCTGCAACAAGTTGGTAGAACTCAACAGGGCTAAACTGGGGAAATGCCTTGTTTTGAAATGAGTTCTTCTCAGTGATTTGTCACTGGAAAAAAATGCACAGATCTGGGAGAATATTCAGTGAATTTCAGGCTCAGGAAAATGGTCCTATAGCAATGATGTGAAACAAGCATTGTTCTTGCTTCCCCAACTTCTCTCCTGTAAGCAGACTTACTTTGACTGTCTCCTGAAGTCTCATTTCTTTTATTGTAGTGTCCAATAACAATGAAGAGATAATTAATTACAGTGGGCTTGCTATCCAACCAAAGTCGTAATCCAGTCACACAGGGAGATACTGATGCACCTCCATCTGAAGCTGCAGCTTTACCTTCTCTTACACGACAAAATTCTGCTAATGCTCATCAGCTTTCTTTGTCCTCCCAGTCCTGGGTTTATTCAGCTGAGAAGTGATGGTTATTTTCCAACAGAACGAAAACCTGGGCCCTTGGCTACCTTCAAACCTTACCCTATTACTTGAGATTTATTTTTCATTTAATATAGATTTAAACTACCTATTTTCTGTCTCGTTTTACCAGTGCAATGCTAGTAAAAAAACAAAATACAGCACATAAACACCTAAACTTTTTTTTTCTTTTTTTTTTTTTTTTCAAGACAGGACACAGAGCCAGCACATTCTCTGGTTGTGGGATAAAACAGCTACTTAAAACTGTGTGTACTTCTATGTTTGTGAAAAAACTAGAAACTACATCTTTCTACTGGCCATAATCAGTAATCCACAGACTTACTGTCTTAATTTATTTTTTTTTTTAAACTACCACATTCCACAGAAAACAAATTTGTCTGTATATTAACATTTTATCTTGCATAAATGTATGTTTCAGCAGTTATGAAAATGAGACAGCTGACAGTTGACTACTACATGTGAACAGATGCTGTGAAAGCTTCCCTTTAAATAGTTCTGTCAATGCAATGTCAATTTTAGAAGCGACACCACTGCTGTTCTAGGACATGATCCTGCAAACTCTTATTCACACAGGGAGTCCTGATGATTTCCATAGAACATTTACATTTATAAGGCTCTGAAAGGTCAGGTCCTTAGCTGCAGAGCTCTGCTTAAGAGTGACTGACAAATACACGACGAAGTTTTTAGTAGTGCTGAGCTCTGTTCTTTAGGGCAATGACATTTGCAGCCAGCTGTATTCACCTGGGCAGTACATACATTTTCTTTCAGAAGTTACAGGAAGCATATTAAATTCACTTAAGAAACCATTAAATGAGCTGAAGTGTAGAGATAATAAAAAAATAAATAAATAAATAAATAAATAAAATGTCATGTGAAACCAAGCTTGCGGTACGAGGCAGAACTTTGAAAAAAATCAATCTGCCGAGAAGACAGGCTGAGGTTGGAACACAGCACGGCGCCGACCAGGAAAGAACTGTTCGTCTGTGCCACGGAAAACCCAACACGATCCAGTCCCTTTGTTAGCGGCATCCTCCCCAGCGGCCGCTGGCAGGGGTGAAGGTGCGAGGAGTGCGAAGGCAGCGGTGCTGAAGGACAGCGCAGCGCTCCCCAAGGCTCCTCGCCCCTGTGGCGGCCCCGCCGCCCCTCACAGCGGGGGCAGAGG